GTCTTGCTCTGTTGCCCAGGCTGGAGTGCAGTGGCGTGATCTTGGCTCACTACAACCTCCACCTCCCAGGTTCAAGTGATTCTCCTGCCTCAGACTCCCAAGTAGCTGGAACTATAGGCACGTGCCACCATGCCTGGCTAATTTGCAACTCATCCTATATACCCACCCCGGGACCCATTTTACAAACTCTGCGGCTGGACGCAGGGGCCAGACCACAGTTATTGGGGATTAGGCAGATGGAGGGAGGCTACTCACTTCCACTGTCTACTCCTTTGTCTACCTGTTTTTCTGAATCTAATGGACCAGTTTGGCTGAGGAAGGCTTGAAGTGAAGTGCATCTGAGATTCACCAGTATTTAAATTGTTCCCTTCCTCTGCCTAGAATCAGAATTTCTCTCCTCAAGCACGTCATGAGGAACTCTCCAAAAGACCACCCACCTGCCTCCCACCTTTCAGGGAAGCTTCCCAGACACTGGTGCACAGGGGTGAGGTGCACACACAAAGAACTACCAGAGGAGGGTTTTTCTCTTGCTTCTGGTTCTTTTCTTCTAAGAGATTATATTTAAAATAAAAGTAAAAAGAAGGAACAAATTGCAGGAGAAACCTTGGTTAAAAAGCTCATTAATGAAGTTTTTAAAATGTCAGTGTGTTAGATTCAAACACAAAAAATTTCTGATTGTGTTAAGTTTTGAAAAAAAAGCTGGTTTTCTTCCAGGCCATGGCCTCCAATCATCTCCCACCTCTCAGGTCTCACCCAAATACTTCTCACTGGGTTGGTTTTACTCAGACACTCACTCCTAAGTACCATGTTATCTGGAGCTTTCCCACGTTGAGATGAAAAAAGGTAAACAAAAGAAAAGACCGAAAGGTAAAAGGACAGATTCTGTTCTGGGGTTAGCAGTAACTCCAAATCCAATAACTTCTGTGTGTATGTCTATATATAGAGAGATATATAAACACACACACGTGTATATACATATACACAAACACATATGCACACATGTTTTAAACCTTTTTTTTTTTTTTTTGAGATGGAGTCTTACCCTGTTGCCCAGGCTGGAGTGCAATGGCACGATCTTGGGTCACTGCAGCCTCTGCCTCCCAGGATCAAGCGATTCTCCTGCCTCAGCCTCCTGAGTACCTGGCACTACAGGCACCTACCACCATGCCCGGCTAGTTTTTTGTATCTTTAGTAGAGACGGGGTTTCACCATGTTGGCCAGGCTGGTCTTGAACTACTGATTTCATGATCTGCCCACCTCAGCCTCCCAAAGTGCTGGGATTACAGGCATGAGCCACCGCGCCCGGTTTTCTCTCTCTCTCTTTTCAGGGCCTCTTGGTGATGTAACAGAAACCAGGGATATGTGGTCCTATAAATGTAAACACACTGGCACTATGAGGAACAGATAGCTCTGTTTCTAGCTCCCTCACTGGGGCTTCTGACCATTGCAACCTGAGATCCCTGGCTGTGGGCAGCAGAATCCAGACATCCACAAGTTATTGTTTTTATCCCTATGTTTTCATAATCCCGGAACTAAGCTCAAATTTTCTGAGTCCTGACTAAACTATTCCTAGCTAGAGCCAAAATCATGAGAATGAGACTTTCTAACACTATTGCCACTGCAGTGTCCCGCTTGTTGTCTTAGAAGCATATACAGTGAATAGACCATGGTAACATCTGCCTCCTTTTCATTTGTGAGGCCAGAACATCACATTCCTCGGCTTTTACACATCTTAGACACTTTTTTGCTAAAGGGATAGCTTGGGGCTTCAGTGAGCTGCTGAATATGCTCAGTCATCCAACTCTTCACTGTCCAGGAGTCATCCCTGCCTGGGAAGGTTTCAAGCTTCCCAGCAAGCACCAGTTCCCTTGGGAGTGTGTCCTATAGTGAATAAATGTCAAATTCTCCCCATGGCCAAAAGGTGAGGGGGAAGGAAAGAAAGAGAAAGTGAAAGAGAAAGGTCTTTGCTTTCAAGTAGAATCATCTAGTCCTCTGTTTGGCTGCTCAGAATTGGACTTGCAAAGTCTGTCCATGATGCCCTGGAGCATAGGCTGGACAATGCCCAAGAGAGGCCTCTTCAAGGGGTCGCCATCCCAACAGGCTTCCATCAACTGCCAGCACTCCTCATCAAACACAGGAAGACGTTCTGGGCGAGCCCCTAGAGAAAGGAGCATGGAAACAAGACCACAGTGAGAGGGACCCGGCACAACAGAGGCATGACCAGCTCAAAGGCTGACTTCCCAGACGGGCTCAGGATACTAAAGAATACAAGGAGTTTTGGCTTCAATTGCAAACATCTAGGTTAGAACCTAACGGTAAGAGTGATTTAAAAAAAAAAAAAGGAAGAAGAAAAACTGGAACACATTGGCATATGAAGTTGAAGAATCAGAAATTTTTTTACAAAAGACTTTTTGAGATAGTTCAATAGAGAGTTGCCTGGATGCAAAGGTTCACTTAAATATCTTTTTTGGATTCATGACAGTTTAAATACGTCTATGGCCTTGCTACGGAGTAGCCAGAAAGGATGACAGGAGGCCCTGTGACACTGCCTGGGCTCAATCTGGCCTAGCCAGGGGAGTTAGGACAGGGTAGTACTTGTGGCTCTTACCCCTCCGCACATTGTTCCAGAGATGGTCTTTGCTAGCACACCTCTCAAATGCCTCAGGGAGCTTGACAGAGCCTGAGCAGATATACCAGAAAAGAATTCCAAAAGCGTAGACATCCACGGAATTATCGTACTTCCCTGATGGCAAGAAAGCATGAAACATAATGAGCCACGGAAAGGCAGGCAGCAGCATCCACACCACCTTGCCTCAGTAGAGGTTTAGCTTTTCCCAAAGCTTTTAACATCTATTATCTCTCAGTAACAACCCTGCCAGGTAGGCAGGCCACATTTATAACGCCCATTTCATAATACAATCAACTAAGACATTGGGAGGCCACAGCACAATACTAAGAGAGCCAAACCTAGAACTTGACAAAGGAGAAGGAAAATAAGGCCTTTCATTCTGCTAGGACAGTCAAAAAGATTAATCCCAAAAGGTCATATTAGGAAAATAAAGTTGGGAATATAGGTGGGTAGGTATGTTGGAACCAGAATATGATTATTTTTAAAGTCAGACAGAAGAGTCTGGATTCAGTAGCAGCAGGAAGTCAATTAGGTTTTAGAGTAGGAGGTGACATGAAGAATACAATATTTTAGAAAGATGATTCTGACAGCAATAGGGTGGACTGCAACAGAAACAATAAAAGGAATTTAAGTATGAAGTAGCCAAAATAGAATAATAGCAGTGGGATTAGAAAGTTTTTTTTTTTAAAAAGTAAATCTAGAGAAAGAAAAATGAAGACAGTCTACTTGGGTCAGATATAGAGCACGACTACAGCTGTCTCGCTATCACATAATCCTTACATGTATCACCCAGTGAAGGGCTGGGGGAAGACTGGTACATGAAATGAAAGAAATTTAAATATATCGCTAATTTTAACTCTTACCAGTACTAATAACTGACCAGGGATTATCTTCCTCTCTTCCCTGGCAATGGAACAATCATTCCCATCACTTGGGCTCAAAACCTTGGAGTCATCTTTCGGTCATTCTTTTCTGTTCACTAACCATATCAAGTTAGCACCAAACTCTTGCCCATTCTTCCTCTGAATTAATCTCGAGTTTCTCACATTTGTTTGTTTCAGCACTAATACCAGCTTAATCTTGGATGCAACCATAGAAGACCAGCTATCTGGTCTTCTAACCTTGGTTCTTCCCAGTCAAAGCATCTTTACCTACTGTTGCTAAGCTCATCTTCATAAACGTTTTCCTTTCTCCCCTACTCAAAAGCTCGGTAGTGCCTTAAGTCTTGCACAACAAGCCTTGATTCTTTTGTGGGAATTTCAAGCTCAATATATTTTTATCTCCAACCTTGTTTGCTACTATTCCCCAATGGATTTCTTTCATGTCATGCTTATTTCTATTCTGTGATTTTCCTCATTATTTCCCCTTCTTTAGCTTCTAGAATTTTCTCTCCTTCATGCTACAGTGTTGTACTATGGTGACAGAACATCTTAGACTTAAATCACAGCTCCATTACATTTTAGCTCAATGTTTTTGGGAGTATGTTTCTTCATCAATCTGGTCTCAACTTTATCCATTAAATGGACATAAAAATCCATCATTATCACAGAACTAAACAAACTATATGAAAAATCTACCCATACTACCTAGCTCAAGGTATATACTTAATAAGTTCCCTTCCGACCTACTAGTTTCCCAGATCTGACTCAAATTCTACTCAAAATCTCACCTCCATCACAAAACCACCAAACATGTCCACCTTCATTTATTCCTTCTCTAAACACCAACAGCACATTATATAGCAGTTTATTTAGCACCTAATCACACACTGTGTTGTACTGCTTCCTATTTTTACCTCTCAATATGTCTCTATGCCAACTATAAGCTCTTTAATGATAGAGGGCAACTCCTATTACACAGGAGTTATTCAGTCAATACTTTGTGATTAGATAATTGGCTGATTGTGGCAGTAACAACCCAGAGGGATGTCCAAATGATGACTCCCATTTGCACTTTTTCTTTCTTATTCCTTTACCTCTTCACTTTCCCCTCTACTTGCCTTAGGTAGGTCTCCCTGATCTAGTTTCTCCCTTGCCTGTACTAGACCTGCCAGTAGTGATTGTGAAAACTAGCTCAAGGGGTGGTACTCAGGATGAAAGTAATAATATGCCCTGCCCAGACCCACTGCCTGCCCTCCAGCCTTACCTGTGAAAAGTTCAGGGGCCATATGGATTGGTGTCCCCACAATGCTGCCTGACATCATGGCCTCTGGCTTGCAGAATCCTAAGTCAGTGATCTTGGCACGGTTCTGCTTGTCTAGCTGCCAACAAAGCAGGGCAAGAGTCACCTTGTTTTTGATCTGCACACAGCACTGCTGCATACCCAAGCTCAAAGGTAGGTACCTCAAAGTAGGATTATGATCTGAAAAATGAGTTGTCAGGTGATTTCATCCTTGTGCAAACACCAGACTGTGCTTACACAAACCTAGGTGGTATACCTGCTATACCCCTAGGTGATATATTAATAGGATGGTCTTTTGCTAGTAGACTACAAACCTGTACAGAGTGTTACTGTACTGAATACCACAGGCAACAGTAACAGTGGTATTAGTGTATCTAAACATACTTAAACATAGAAAAGGTACAGTAAAAATATGATATAAAAGATAAAAAATGGTATGCCTGTAGAGGGCATTTACAATGAATGGAGCTCCCAGAAGTGGAAACTGCTCTGGGTGAGTCAGTGAGTGAGAGGTGAGTGTGAAGGCCTACGACATTATTACTACAGGCTTTATAAACACTGTACATTTAGACTACACTTAATTTATTTTTTAAAGTATTTTTCTTTTCTTTTCTTTTTTTTAAACAGAGTCTTGCTCTGTTGCCAGGCTGGAGTACAGTGGTATGATCTCAGCTCATTACAACCTCCCCGTCCCAGGTTTGAGCGATTCTTCTGCCTCAGTCTCCTAAGGAGTTGGGACTACAGGCGTGCATCACCATGCCCAGCTAATTTTTGTATTTTTAGTAGAGACAGAGTTTCACTATGTTGGCCAGGATGGTCATGATCTCTTGACTCTGTGATCCACCCGCCTCGGACTCCCAAAGTGCTGGGATTACAGTCATTGTGCCCGGCCAAAATTTTTTCTTCAATAATAAATCAACCTCCACTTACTGTAATTTTACTTTATAAACTTTTTTATTTTTTAAGCTTTTTGTTTAACCCTTTTATAATAAACACTTAGCTTATAACACAAGCACACTGTATAGCTGTACAAAAATATTGCATTTATTTATATCTTTATATCCTTATTCTATAAGCTTTTCCCTTTTTTTTTTTTTTTTTTTTTTTCAGAGACAGGGCTGTGCTCTGCCTTCCAGGCTGGAGTGCAGTGGCACAATCATAGCTCAAGGCAGCCTTGAACTTTTGGCTCAATGGATCTTCGCACCTTGGCTTCCTAAGCAGCTAAGACTACAGTTGTGTGCCATCATGCCTGTCTAATTTTTTGATTTTTAGTAGAGATGGGGTCTTTCTCTGTTTTCCAGGCTGGTTATAGGCTTTTTTTCCTATTTTTAATTTTTTTTTTCCATTTATTTTATTGCATTTTAGGTTTTGGGGTTTTAATTTTTTTTTTTTAACTTTTAAAACTCTTTTGTTAAGAACTGAAACACGGACTTATTAGCCTAGGCCTGCATGGGGTCAGGATCATCCATATCACTGTCTTCCACCTCTACATCCTGTCCCACTGGAAGGTCTTCAGGGACAACAACACACATGGAGCTGTCACTTCCTATGATACCAACACCTTCTTCTGGAATTTGTCCTGAGATCCTGCTCGAGGCTGTCCTTACTGGTTTATATATTTACCATACCATACCTTTTATTGTTATTTTAAAGTATCTAAAAAGCATAAAAAGATTAAAAGTACAGTAAATATATAAACCAGTAACATAGCTGTTTCTTATCAAATATTATATACTGTACATAATTGTGCTATACTTTATTGTTATTATTTTTTTTAAATAGAGATGGGGTTTCACCATATTGGTCAGACTGGTCTTGAACTCCTGACCTCAGGTGATCCACCCACCTCGGCCTCCCAAAGTGCTGAGATTAGAGGCGTAAGCCACCTCACCCAGCCCTGTGCTGTATTTTTATACCAGTAGCTTTGTTCACACCAGCATCACCACACATGGGTATTTCACTGTGCTGCAACATTATGTCAGCTGTTTTTGAGATGGAGTCTTGCTCTGTCTCCCAGGCTGGAGTGCAGTGGTGCGATCTCAGCTCACTGCAACCTCTGCCTCAGCCTCCTGAGTAGCTGGGACTACCGGCACCCAACACCACACCCTGGCTAAATTTTGTATTTTTAGTAGAGATGGGGTTTCACCATGTTGGCCAGGATGGTCTCGATCTTCTGACCTCGTGATCCACCTGCCTCAGTCTCCCAAAGTGCTGGGATTACAGGCGTGAGCCACTGCGCCCAGCCCCATTATAATCTTAAGGGACTATATCGTATATGTGGGCTCACTGACCAAAATGTCATTATGCAATGCATGACTGTACTTCATAAATCCTGCCACCAACCTTCCTGTCTCCAGGTTCATTTCCATTACAGGTTGAGTATCCCTTATCTGAAAGGCTTGGAACCAGAAGTGTTTTGAATTTCAATTTTTTTTTTCCAGATTTTGGAATATATGCATCATACTTGCTGATTCAGCATCTCTAATTAAAAATCCAAAATCCAAAATGTTCCAGTGAGCATTCCCTTTGAGGGTCATGTCACTGCTCAGAAAGTTTCAGATTTAGGAGCATTTTGGAGTTCTAATTTTTGGATTAGGAATATTCAACCTGTACTGTCTTCCTCCCCACTCTGTGAGCAACATGAGGGCAAGGACTGCCGTTTTCATCTTTGTATCCCCAGTGCTTAATGCAGTGCCCGGTACATATGAAGATCCTAACAAACCCTGGAAGAATGAAGAAGTATAGGTCCATGGAAGGACACCAGTGAAACACTTCAGCTCCTGCCCCTCCTCCCAACCTTAGGGCAGAAAGTTGAGGTCTTCCAGTCAGCTGAGGAGAGTTTCCTAAAGTCCCTGTAGTTTCCTTTCCTAGGTTGAAGAGAATCTCTAAGTCTGTCTAATTTGGCTACTGATTAGCCTGTTAGGTTTCAGCTGTCAATTTTAGGGAGATCTTTCCCTTCCCCTAAATTGCTGCCATCTTTATACATCACTTAAGTACTGCCAGAAACAACTGAATGATCACTTCCCTTTCCACCATGATTGTAAGCTTCCCGAGGTCTCTTGAGCCCTGTGGAACTGTGAGTCAATTAACCTTCTTTCCTTTATAAGTTACCCAGTCTCAGGTATGTCTTTATTAGCAACGTGAGAATGGACTAATACAATAAATCAGTACCAAGAGTGGGCTGCTGCAGTAAGGATACCTGAAATTGTGGAAGCGACTTTGGAACTGGGTAACAAGCAGAGGCTGGAACAGTTTTGAGGGCTCAGAAGACGACAGGAAAATGTGGGAAAGTTTGAAACTTCCTACAGTTTCCAACTTTGTTCAGTTGAATGGATTTGACCAAAATGCTGATAGTGAGATGGACAATGATGCCCAGGCTAAGGTGATCTCAGATGAAGATGAGGAACTTGTTGGGAACTGGAGTAAAGGTCACTCTGGCTATGCAAAGAGACTGGAGGCATTTTGCCCCTGCCATAGAGATCTGTGGAACCTTGAACTTGAGAGAGATGACTTAGGATATCTGGTGGAAGAAATTTCTAAGCAGCAAAATGTTCAAGCAGAGCACTAAAGTTTGGAATATTTGCAGCCTGACAATGTGATAGAAAAGAAAACCTATTTTCTAGCTGGGCATGGTTGCTCACTCCTGTAATCCCAGCACTTTGGGAGGCCGAAGTGGGTGGATCACCTGAGGTCAGGAGTTCGAGACCAGCCTCGCCAACATGGCGAAACCCCACCTCTACTAAAAATACAAAAGTTAGCCGGGCATGGTGGCAGGCACCTGTAATCCCAGCTACTTGGGAAGCGAAGGGAGAAGAATTGCTTGAACCAGAGAGGTGGAGGTTACAGTGAGCCAAGATTGCACATTGCACTCTAGCCTGGGGAATAAAGTGAGACTCCATCTCAAAAAGAAAAAAAGAAAAGCTATTTTCTGAGGAGAAATTCAAGCCCACTGCAGAAATTTGCATAAGTAATGAGGAGCTGAATGTTAATCACCAAGACAATGGGGAAAATATCTCCAGGGCATGTCAGAGACCTTCACAGTAGCCCCTACTATGACAGGCCTAGAGGTTTAGAAGGGAAAAGTGGTTCTGTGGGCTGGGCCCAGGGCCCCCCTACTCTATGTAGCCTCAGGACATGGTGTCCTGCATCCCAGCTGCTTCAGTTCCAACTATGGCTAAAAGGGGCCAATATATAGCTCAGGCTGTTGCTTCAGAGGGTGCAAGCCCCAAGTCCTGGCAACTTACAGGTGGTTTTGGGCCTGCAGGTGCACAGAAATCAACAACTGAGGTTTGTGAACCTCCACCTAGATTTCAGAGGATGTATGGAAATGCCTGGATATCCAGACAGAAGTTTGCTGCAGGGGTGGAGCCCTCAGGGAGAACCTCTGCTAGGGCAGTGTGGAAGGGAAATGTGGGGTTGGAGCCTCCACAGAAAGTCCCCACTAGGACACTGCCTAGTGGAGCTGTGAGAGGAAGGCCACTGTCCTCCAGCACCCAGAATGGTAGATCCACCCACAACTTGCACCATGTGCCTAGAAAAGCCAAAGACACTCAATGCCAGTCCATGAAAGCAGCCAGGAGGTGGGCTGTACCCTGCAAAGCCACAGGGGTGGAGATGCCTAAGACCATGGGAGCCCACCTCTTGCATCAGTGTGCCCTGGATGTGAGACATGGAATCAAAGGAGATCATTTGAGAACTTTAAGGTTTAATGACTGCCCTATTGGACTTCAGACTTGCATGGGGCCTGTAGCACCTTTGTTTTGGCCAGTTTCTCCCATTTGGAATGGGTATATTTACCCAATGCCTGTACCCTCATTGTATGTAGAAAGTAACTAACTTGCTTTTGATTTTACAGGCTCACAGACAGAAGGGACTTGCCTTGTCTCAGATGAGACTTTGGACTTGGACTTTTGAGTTAATGCTGGAATGAGTTAAGACTTTGGAGAACTGTCGGGAACGCATGATTTTGTTTTGAAATGTGAGGACATGGCCAGGCACGGTCATGCCTGTAATCTCAGCACTTTGGGAGGCCAAGGCAGGTGGATCACCTGAGGTCAGGAGTTCAAGACCAGCCGGACCAACATGGAGAAATGCTGTATCTACTAAAAATATAAGAGCCGAGTGTGGTGGTGCACGCCTGTAATCCCAGCTACTCAGGAGGCTGAGGCAGGAGAATCACTTGAATCCAGGAGGCAGAGGTTGTGGTGAGCTGTGATCATGTCATTGCACTCTAGCCTGGGCAACAAGAGTGAAACTCCGTCTCAAAAAAAAAAAAAGAAAAGAAAAGAAAAGAATGTGAGGACATGAGATCTGGGAGTGGTCAGGGACAGAAAAATAAGGTTTGGCTGTGTCCCCACCCAAATCTCATCTTGAATTGTAGTTCCCATAATACCCATGTGCCATGGGAGGGACCCAGTGGGAGGTAATTTAATCATGGGGGAGGCCACCCTCATGCTGTTCTCATGATAGTGAGTTCTCATGAGATCTGATGGTTTTGTTAAGGGGCTTTACCCCCTTTTATTTAGTACTTCTCCTTGCTGCTGCCATGTGAAGAAGAATGTATTTGCTTCCCCTTCTGCCAAAATTGTAAGTTTCCTGAGGCCTCTCCAGCCCTGTGGAACTATGAGTCAATTAAACCTCTTTCTTTTATAAATTACCCAGGCTTGGGTATATCTTTATTAGCAGCATGAGAATGGACTAATACACTTTCTGTGTGGACTTTTCTTAGGACCAAACTTACATTTACCCTCCAAAATTACTCAGCCACAGAGGTAGGGTATAATCTTGGGGAAACAGCTCTTACTTACCAGCACATTTTTCAGTTTGATATCACGATGGACAAGTCCCTGGCTGTGCAGGAAGCGGATTCCCTCCACCACATCTAGTGCTATCTGCAAACGTGTCTCCAGGGTCAGCCCAGCCTTGGGGAGACAAAAGAGCTTACTTGTCATGATAAGGCAACTCCTCAATTCAACTTGCTTGAACCAACTGAGACTTCTTTCTGTGGGGAACTAAAAGACTGACTGTGCTAGAGCACATGAGGACAGAAAAGTGAATTTTTAAAAAGGGGAAGAGCTGGCACAGTGGCTTATGCCTGTAACCCAGCACTTTTGGAGGCCAAGGCGGACGGATCACTTGAGGTCAGGAATTTCAAGACCATCCTAGACAACATGGTGAAATCCTGTCTCTACTAAAAAAACAAACAAACAAACAAAAAATTCGTGAGACGTGGTGGCAGATGCCTGTAATCCCAGCACTTGGGAGGCTGAGGCAGGAGAATCACTTGAACCCAGGAGGCAGAGGTTGCAGTAAGCTGAGACGGTGCCACTGAACTCCAACCTGGGCGAAAGGGCAAGGCTCTGTCTCAAAAAAAAGGTGAAGGGAGAAAAAATCAGTTAGGCCAGGGAAGTAGAGGAAAAGCAAGGAAGTGTAAGCTATAAAGGAGACAAAGCCAGATAAAATCCCTTACAGGCTGCAGTTAAGCCAAATGGATAATCTCAAATGTGACGAGCAGATAAAACCAAACGACTAAGGCATGAGCTCATTTCTAACATTTGAACAAATTCTGGAACTGCCCTTAAGGCTCAAAGTGACTATTTCTGGCCAGGCGCGGTGGCTCACGCCTATAATCCCAGCACTTTGGGAGGCCGAGGAAGGTGGATCACGACGTCAAGAGATCGAGACCATCCTGGTCAACAAGGTGAAACCCCGTCTCTACTAAAAATACAAAAATTAGCTGGGCATGGTGGTGCGTGCCTGTAGTCCCAGCGACTCAGGAGGCTGAGGCAGAACTGCTTGAACCCAGGAGGCGGAGGTTGCAGTGAGCCAAGATCACGCCACTGTACTCCACCCTGGGTAACGAGCGAAACTCCGTCTCAAAAAAAAAAAAAAAAAAAAGTGACTATTTCTAGGTCCCTCAGGAAGATTTACTCCCATTGCTTTACAGGGCTGGTTAGCCCAGGTTTCGTTTTCTGGATTCAAATACCAAAATCACTCAGATTACCTCAATTCAGGGTCTCCTGAATACTGGAAAATGTCACATCACTCATTCAAAAGCTCAAAGGATGTTCTCTAGCTCACTTGTGGAAATGCATCAGACAATGCTTAACTCCTCTGAAATGAAGAGAGAGAGCTGCTTGGAGAGTCACTTTCTTCATCGTATTGAATCCTCATGACTCTGGGAGCCATCTCTAAAGTTTCCTCCGCCCTAATTCCAGAAGCCTCCATACAGCCTGGTCCAGGAGGAATCTGTGAGAAGTGATCTACCCAGAACTCTGAGGACAGCTTTTCTCTCCTTCTACTCAGCTCCTATGTAGGGAACAGACAAAAGAAACCTCTCTAATTCACTCTTGGTGGTGGTTTCAAATACGGGAAACTCAACATTCAACTGAGGGTTTCACCTTCACTCAAATAAAATCCTTCAGTATCTTCTCATTGTCTATAACGGAATTTGAGTTCTATGGAAATTCTTAACATTTTGGGCCTTGTATAATTTATTCCCAACATCTCTTTGCACATTATGTCTCCTGATTCCCAAAATGAACCAGCTGCTCCGGTCCCAGTGTCCTTACCAGCCTTCGAATGCTCTAGGCATTAGGCTGTTCCTTCCCCCAGCTATGGCCTCTTTCTTCCAACTGCCCAAATTCTACCCATAATAGTATATTTGTCAAACTCAAACTCCACATCTTCCTGAAATGGTCGCTGACTACAGTTCTCTTAATAGTGCCTGTCAATTATACCTTCTAATATCCTCTAATGGTGCTTAATGAAAGACCTTGTACACAGCAGTCACTAATAAATATCTGTTGACTAAACAACAAAAACTAGCTTTATCCTCTTAGAGCAAAAATGAGAAAGAAGAGCAGAGTTACAGGAAGCTATACTGCTCTTCGGAGGAGTTTAGGTTTTTACTACCACCACAGGGGTCCGAGTGGTGAATGACAGTATTCTGGATATATAACGAGGTGAAAATAGGTTCTGAGTAATCTTTAAAAATTTTTTTATTTTTATTTTTAGAGATGGGGTCTTACTTTGTCACCCAGGCTAGGCTGTAGTGGCATGATCAGAGCTCACTGCAGTCTCGGCCTCCTAAGCTCAAGAGATCCTCTCACCTTAGCCCCCTTGAGTAGCTAGGACTACAGGTATAAGCCACTACACTCAGCTAACTTTTAAATTTTTTTTTTTTGAGACAGAGTTTCACTCTTGTTGCCCAGGCTGGAGTGCAATGGCTTGAGCTTGGCTCACCAAAACCACTCCCCACTGGGTTCAAGCAATTCTCCTGCCTCAGCCTCCCGAGTAGCTGGAATTACAGACATGTGCCACTATACCTGGCTAATTTTGTATTTTTTAGTAGAAATGGGGTTTCTCCATGTTGGTCAGGCTGGGCTTGAACTCCTGACCTCAGGTGATCTGCCCACCTTGGCCTCCCAAAGTGCTGGGATTACAGGTGTGAGCCACGACACCTGGCCTCTTTTAAATTTTTTGTAGAGAGAGGGTCTCCCTATATTGCCTAGGCTGGTCTCAAACTCCTGGACTCAAGTGATACTCCCACCGTGGCCTCCCCAGGTGCTGGGATTACAGGGGTGAGCCACCATGCCCAGCTGAGAAATCTTTAAGGGTTTTTGGAAAAAAATGAAATAAAGCCTAATTACTCCAACAATCTCTGATGAAAGCTGAAAGCTCTGAATAAACAGGAGGGTGAGAAGCCAGAAGCGAACCCGTGAATTTGGCTGCCAGCTGGATCTTGCTCTCTCCTTACCTTCAGCCCTGTGTAGAGGTCCCGGTGGAGCCGCTCCATAATGAGGAGCACAGCAATGCTGGAGCCACCACCATAGTTGTAGTCGATGACTGAGCCATGGAGATCCACCAATCGCTCATGCTTCGGCAGAGACCTGGTGGGAAGGAAAGAGGTCTGGGCTACAAGGCTAGGGCTCTAATCCTGCATGCCATGACAGTACGTAGGAGACAGGTCCAGAGATAACGGCCCTCAGTGCAGACAGAGGGCCAAGAGCATGGCTTCATCAACAAGGATGAAGAATCCTGGATTCTAAAAACTGATAAGGCTTAAGGACTAAAGAAGAAAGTTAAATGGAATGATGAGTCTGAGACAATAGGATGGTGGGGAAAGAGCAAGCAAAGGCAGTGAAGGCCTTAAAAGGAGCACATGTGTGGGTCAGACACAGAAACACTAGTCCATACCATTTTGAAACCTAAATATAGAGAGACAGTCTTGGTACAAAATCTAAACCAGGCTTTTAGAATCTTCTCTGGATCTTTCCCATAGAGATGAGTGAGACCAGGACTCACCTCATGTAGTGAAACTCCAAAGCCAGATCATTCCAGTGCTTCTCATCTGGAGGGACAACTGATTTGAGGGCACAAGGGAAGTGTCCTCCCCAGTTGTCACACAGGTACACCACACCATACTGGCCCCGGCCCAGTTCCTGTCCCAGTTTAGGTTTACCTGTAAGGTACAGAGACAGAGATAAGGCATGAGGGATGGGAACTTCATGGGCAACCTCTGTAAGATTCTGTTTTTTTTTTTTTTCTGAGACAGAGTCTCACTCTGTCACATAAACAAGAATGCAGTGGGATGATCTCGGCTCGCTGCAACCTCTGCCTCCTCCCTTCTGGGTTCAAGAGATTCTTCTGCCTCAGGCTCCTAACTAGCTGGGAACACACGCATGTGCCACCACATCTGGCTAATTTTTGTAGTTTTGGTAGAGATAGGGTTTTGCCGTGTTGCCCAGGGTGGTCCCGAACTCCTGGGCTCAAGCAATCCACACACCATGGTCTCCCAAAGTGCTTTGACTACAGGCATAAGCCACTGTGCCAGTCCTGTAAGCTTCTTCATTGTGAACCTGTTTTTAGGCCAGGAAGTTGTAATCATGCCCAGGGATAAAATTCTGGTGTCATTCTAAACCAATAGAAAGTAATCTAGATGGTTTAATTCAAATAAACTTTGGTTATATGGGTTTTTTGGGTTTTTTTTTTTTTTTTTTTTTTTGAGACAGAGTCTTGGTCTGTCACCCAGGCTGGAGTGCATTGGTGTGATCTTGGCTTACTACAAGCTCCACCTTCTGGGTTCAAGTGATTCTTCTGCCTCAGCCTCCCGAGTAGCTGGAGTTACAGGCAAGTGCCACCATGCCCAGCTAATTTTGCATTTGAGTAGATGTGGGGTCTCGCCATATTGCCCAGGCTGGTCTTGAACTTCTGAGCTCAGGCAGTCCACCCACCTCAATCTCCCAAAGTGCTAGGATTACAGGTATGAGCCCACCTGGCCTGGTCATGTTATTTAAACTATATAAATAGCAGGAGCAGACTTTAGGAATTCAAAAACATCAGTAAAAGTTTAGGCAGCTTTACAAACAGGAAGCTTTAGACACTGGGATGCTCTGAAGTTGGACATAATAATGTCAGGTATCCTGAACCATCCTCCAATTTATTTATAAGAAAACCAGACTCACGATGAAGCAAGACATCCTGTAAAGAACGGCTTTCCAGAGAAAGGCGGGCCAGGCGGGGGGCATGATCTTTCCGAACCTTCAGCCATAGATCTTCAGTTTTCTCTAACCGGCCTGAGTGGCCAGCTTCTAGCTGGGAGGGAAACAGAAAAAGGACATACGACTTATTAGGTCACTAGCTTCAGCTTCTTCACCTGTTATACAGGGATAACAATATCTACCTCATACAGATAATTTTGAGAATTAAATAAGATACATGTAACATGTTTAGCACAGAGACTGGCACAGAGTGGACTCTCAGTAAATAATAACTTTCCCTCCTGGATACATAACCACATCTATCCACTCTCTGCCTGGACATACCCATTCCCCACCAGTGGACAATCAGATGTCAAACAATTATGAAATAATATGGAAGTTGGAAACTCATATGAAGAGCAGAGAGCAAACTACTCCCATCTGGATGAGGCTCTTCTCTGCTTGATCCAGCTATATCTCCTCTCCTACATACCAACCTGCCGCAAGGAGGCTGCAAAAGCCTCGTGGGAACTATTAAGCCGAGTCCGGAATTGGCTGCAAATGCTCTTGGCCAATTTGGAGGCGCTGAGGCTCTCGATGGCTTCCTGGGCCACCTTCCTTTTCCATTCCAGAGTGATGGCAGGTGGGCTCACCCATGTGATGCGCTGGATGATCTGCCAGGATGAAGACAGCGAGATCACTGAAGCATGAGAGATAAGAACCACTACAAAGACCCAGTGCCCTTCCTTTTCTGGGTTACCCATTCATTAAGATCAGGCTCATAAGATGGGAGCTATGTGAAGTCCAAGGTTCCTTTCCAATTCCATCTACCTCAATATCAGGTCCTAACCCAGAGGAAAGCATCAAAGAACACCAGGCCTAGTCTACGTGCTCACAAACCCTTAATATATTACATTCAGTGCCAGAGAGTGCCTGATAATCTTTCTGAAGTCAGTAAATAACTCTACATAAGAGCCAGATCAAATTCCAGAACAGAAACCACATTCACAGCCTCTGGCAACAACAAAGCCTGGTTCTGAGAAAAGATCTGAGCTGGGAAAAAGAAATATGAAGAGGCTAGTGAGGTAGAGTCTTATGGCTCCATGAAATACCTTTTATTTTTCGTTTTTTTCCATTGTCCACAAACAGCACCCAACATAAAAATCATTTAAACCCAAAACTTTTGGGAGTTAAAGGGGACACTCTTAATAATTATTTGAGACTAGGCATAAACCAGAATTCTCCCAGGGAGGCAAACCAGAACAAATGGCCTCCTTGCCATAACAGAAGATCCTAGATATCTGTTTTCTATTGGGGTCACTAGGATTCTTTTGAGCCAACTAGGGGCTTAGAAACCTTTCTCTAAGTAATCCCTACCTGCTTGATTTGCTCCCACAGCATCCTTGTAACAGATGACCCTGAGTGAAATGTGACTTCAACATGATAGGCAGCATTTAAGATCTGAAAGAGAATGCCAAAGAAAACATGCCCTCAGTAGTGTGGCTATTTCAAAAATGCAATAAATAATATTTATTTCAAGAACACAGTCCAGACTCAGTGTTTCCAAACTTATCCCTCAACATATATGCAGAGTCAACTTACGCTGATTATCTATTTTGTGACTTTTAGGCCCTTCTACCTCACCTTTATATTCATCAACTTAACTGCAATTTACAGCTCACCAATATCTCTCACAGGCAGTGGTCACGTGACAGGAAAACAAAATAAAATTTAAACAAGATTCGCAAGAAACTGAAGGGGAAATTCTTGCCTAATTTGAAGCGTGGGCTTCTGCAGATTGTTTCACGTGTTATCCATGACACGATGTCTTAAAAACCGTTCTTTGTGTACCTGTTTGAGATAATTACTGGTGATGTGAACTGAGACATCCTGAGACTTCTCCAGGCTCTGCAGACATCGTTCCAGGGTTCCGACAAAGCTCTCCCTCAGGTAATCCACTGAGCTGATCAGCTTATTAGCCACTGCCTGATTAAGTCGGGAGATGATGAGTTCCTGGATCTGTCGGATACAGCATTTGATCTCTCTGGTGCCTACTGGTTCTCCATTCTCAGGGACAATGACGTCTATGGAGGCAGAGAAATAAGCTAATTCATTGTGAGGAAGAAGGGGCAGACACACTAAATAAAGGCATCTCCCAAATCCGAACCATGGAACTACTGTGATGATGATGGCTACGAAACGACATTATTTGTTGATGAAGTCTGACTCTCACAATGATCAGGGGTCATTTAAACCTCAACTACTTAATGCAGCTAAGATCCTGGAAGAAGCAATTAAGGCCAGGTGCAGTGACTCACGCCTGTAATTCCAGCACTTTGGGAGGCTGAGGCAGGAGGATTGCTTGAGCCCAGGAGTTCAAGATGAGCTTGGGTAATGTAGTGAGACCTCATCTCTACAAAAAAATCAAAGAATGAGGCAGGAAGAAGGATGGCTTGAACCCAGGAGGTAGAGGCTACAATGAGCAGTGATTATGCCACTGCACTCCCACCTGGGTGATGGGAACGAGTAGCTGGGATTACAGGCACGCACCACCATGCCCAGCTAATTTTTTGTAGTTTTAGTAGAGACGGGGTTTCACCGTGTTGACCAGGATGGTCTCGATCTCTTGACCTCGTGATCCACCCACCTCTGCCTCCCAAAGTGCTGGGATTACAGGCTTGAGCCATCGCGCCCAGCCGAATTTGCTAGCTTTTATGTCACATTTATAGGAGGGGAGGAACAACATTTATGAAGTGCAAACTATTTGAAAGGCACAAAAATAAGGATTTTACACACGTAATCTAATTTCATCTTAATAATTTTGTTAGATGAGTATCATAGATCAGGAAACAACCTCAAAGAGAGGACAACGTGGACATGGGAAGGGGATAGTAGAGTTTGGAAGTAATATAGCCTGCATTTGAACCCAGAGCTCATTATTCCAAATCCTATGATCTTTGCAAAATTTCATGTTCCCTAGAATATTAATAAGAAAAATCCAAGAGTCAGGAATTTTATTCTACGTTTTGTTTTGTTATTCTGAGACAGAGTTTAGCTCTATCGCCCAGGCTGGAGTGCAGTGGCATAATCTCAGCTCACTGCAACCTCTGCCTCCCATGTTCAAGTGATTCTCATGCCTCAGCCTCCCAAGTAGCTGGGATTACAGGCAACCGCCACCACACCCAGCTAAGTTTTGTATTTTTAGTAGAGATGGGGTTTCACCATGTTGGCCAGGCTGGTCTCGAACTCCTGACCTCATGATCTGCCTGCCTCAGCCTCCTAAAGCCCTGAGATTATAGGTTTGAGCCACTGCACCTGGCCAGGAATTTTATTCTAATCAATTACTATATAAATAGAGTAAAACTCAGTTGTCCCCACCATGCCACACTATCTCTTAGGATTAGAGCATCTACTTTGTAAATCAGAGGACAGAAGAACTTCAGAGAAGTCAAACTACTTGCAAAAAGATGTGTTTCTAAAAAGGCACGCTCATGTCTACTGGTGGAAACTTAAATTGGTGCCACTTCTTCAGGGAAAATTTGCCAATATCTATTAAAATGTTGAACTAACCAAGAAAAAAATGCATACCCTTTGATCTAACTATTTTGCTTCTAGAAATTATTTTTCTTGAAATATACCCTTACAAGTCCCAAGATGTCTATGTACAATGATGATGAGTGTAGTACAGTTTGTATTAGCAAAAGAGAAAATAAAAAATAAATAGGCCAGGCACAGTGGCCCATGCCTGTAATCCCAGCACTTTGGGAGGACGAGGTGGGTAGATCACCTGAGGTCAGGAGTTCGAGGCCAGCCTGGCTAACATGGTGAAGCCCTGTTTTTACTAAAAATACTAAAAATTAGCCAGGCGTGGTGGTGTGCACCTGTAATCTCAGCTACTCAGGAGGCTGAGGCAGGAGAATCACTTGAACCTGGGAGGCGGAGGTTGCAGTGAGCTGAAATTGCGCCGCTGCACTCCAGCTTGTGCAACAAGAGCAAAACTCCATCTCAAAAAATAAAGTAAAATAAACAAATAAGCCTGACCAACATGGTGAAACCCTGTCTCTACCAAAAATACAAAAATCAGCCAGATGTGGTGGTGTACACCTGTAGTGCCAGTTACTAGGGAGGCTGAGGTGGAAGGATTGCTTGAACCTGGGAGGTAGAGGTTGCAGTGAGACTAGATCATGCCTCTGCACTCCAGCCTGGGTGACAAAGCAAGATCCTGTATCAAAAAAAAAAAAAAAAATTAAAACCTAAAAACAAACAGTTTAAATGTCCATCAATGACAGGATAGTTCAGTAAATTCAGGCATATCCATTAGAAGACGACAAATTTGTATAAATATTTATGGAATGCCCGCTAAAATACACATTAAATGAAAAAGACAAGTGCAGAGGAACATATGGAGAAGAACTGGATGGCTGGGGGATGGTGTCTTTATTACTCTGAATTAAGTACCATAAATATAGGTTTTATCTTAAAAAACTATAAAGTGTGAATATCATGATACCTAGCACATATGCACTGTCTTTATTTAAAAACAAACAGAAGATAGTAATAGTAATCTGGCTCCACGCTGGCCACAATGGCTCATACCTGTAATCCTAGCACTTTGTGGGGACTGAAGCAGAGGATCACTACCAGCCTAGGTAATATAGCAAGACTTTGTCTCTACAAATAAATAAATAAATAAATAAATAAATAAAATAATCTGGCTTCATAGGATATGAGCTAGCTTGCTTCTAAATCTTCTTCTTCTTGTTTCCACCTAGAACAAAGTAAGAACAATCGACTGCTTTACCATCTGCCCAACCTAGCTGTCCTGACCTCCCTTCATCCTGTGTACTGTGATGCTGGCATTGATGCTCTGGTGTCTTTAATCAAATATTGAGAAGACTTCCTAAGATTTCCACTGCAACTAATACTTCTCAACAACTCCTCCCTGCAGTGGGGAATTCACCAAAGAGGTATCTCTGTTCATCTTTAGAATGACTATAAGAAATTAGGTAATCTACGCTTGCTAAAGTCAACCGTATTTCCTTCATATTTATAAGTGTAACTTAAACTAGATACCACCATTCACACACTCATTGATTCTCCAAAGATGTACTATATACAAGAGTCATTATTTGCAAGGAATATGATGATAAATAAGACACAGATCCTATCCTCTTTTCAACTCTAGGATTTTAGGAGTACATAAATAACTATAATAAAAGACAGAAAGTAAAATATGCCAGAAATAAGTTACAGATGAAATGCTATGGGATTTCAAATGACTGCAATTGTTATTAGCTAAGAAAATCAAAGCAGTGCCAGGTGTGGTGGCTCATGCCTGTAATCCCAGCACTTTTTGGGAGGCTGAGGTGGGAGTATTGCTTGAGGCCAGAAGTTCAAGAGCAGCTTGGCCAACATGGTGAAACCCCTGTCTCTAAAAAAAAAACCAAAACACAAAAAATTAGCCGGATGTGGTGGCATGTGCCTGTAGTCCCAGGTATACCGGGGGCTGAGGCAGGAGGATTGCTTGAGCCCAGGGTACAGTGAGCCACGACTGCATTACTGCACTCCAGTCTGGATGCTAGAGCAAGACCCTGTCTCAAAAATAAAAAAAAGAAGGAGAAAATGAAACAAGACTTCATAAAAAAAATGGCATTAGGGAGACAGGCCCTGAAGGGTAGGTAGGATTTGGAAGTTCACAGACAAATCAAAGATGTTTCAGGTCTAAGGCAGGGTGTTAGTAAAGAAAAAGTAAAGGAAGCGCATGGAGGACAGAAAGAAGTTAAGATTAACTCAAAAAGAAGTTACAGGAAAGTGCATAGTGACAAAATAAGACTGGAAAAGTTGGTAAGGGCTAGGCTTTGGAAGGTCTTTAATACTAGGTGGAAGAGTTAAACTTAGTTTGTAGAAATAGGGAGCCAGGTAAACTGGAGAAAAGGTAAACTGGAGAAAGAAGTCAGAGCGATAACAATAGTTCAGTTAGACTTGAGGAGACAGAACAGAAAAGCACAGGTAGGTATCGAATATGGAAGAAGGTTAATCAAGGCTGGGTGTGATAGCTCACGCCTGTAATCCCAGCACCTTGGAAGGCTTAGGCAAGTGAATCACGAGGTCAGGAGATCGAGACTATCCTGGCCAACATGGTGAAACCCCGTCTTTACTAAAAATACAAAAAATTAGTCAGGTGTGGTGGCGTGTGCCTGTAGTCCCAGCTACTCGGGAGGCTGAGGCAAGAGAATCGCTTGAACCCAGGAGGCGGAGGCTGTAGTGAGCTGAGATCACACCACTGCACTCCAACCTGGGCAACAGAGTGAAACTCCGTTTCTCTCTCTCTCTCTCTCTCTTTCTCTACGTTGTGTATGTGTGTGTGTGTGTGTGTGTGTATGTGTGTGTGTGTGTGTGTGTGTGTGTGTGTGTACATGGCAACTGATTAGACAAGGGAAGACAATTCAAGACCATGCTGAGGTTTTGAAGATGGGTACCAGGAAGAAGGTGGCATCAGTAACTGGAAACATTAAGAAGCAGTAAAGGATGGAAATTAAGAGTATGGGCTCAGGAATCAGACTGTCTGGATTCAAATCCTGCCTCTAATATTTACTAGCTGTGTGACCATGGGCAAATAACTTAACCTTTCTAAACCTTAGTACCTCATCTAGAAAAAGGAAATAAGCAGAATCTACCCAGGGGGGTCATTTTTTTTTAAATACTGATGCTGGGTCCCATGTCAGAAATCCTAAGTCTAGAGTGATCTTTAGTGGTCTTGAGCATCTGTATTTTCAGAAAGCCTCCCAAGAAATTAGGATACCCACAACTGAGACTCTAAAGAGTAACTTGCAAACTATGTCATTTTAATCTTGCATGGAGGTTTATATAGAAGTCAGTATACAAAGTCAGCAGCATCTCAGACACCCAAAGACCTGACCAATCACTTTCACCAAATTTTGTTAGTAGCTATTTGTGAAGAATAGGACTGCCAAAAGGCTAAAAACGCAACTTTAGGAAATCCTCCTGAGCTGGGCTTCAGAAACAGCTTGAAAAGAAACAGACTATGAGATAAAATGAACCAATAAAGAGGCATGAGCCATACTGAAGGAGCAAAGGTTAAAGCACGATTTACTAACATCCTCCAAGCGGCTCTTCTCCAGCTCCACTGGGGGTTGAAGTGGTAGAGACAGAAAGTGGAGATTAGGGAGCTATTAGAATGAATTTACCAAAAGTTGAGCTAATATACTTGGGAAGGAATGCGGGTGAAATCTTCCACAATGATCTCTGAGAGCGAGAGAGCCCATCTTGGCTAAATGGCTTTCAAGTAGGCTCCTGCTGATAACAGTGGGGTAGATGAAATTACCCTGAGATTCCTTTAACCTTAAGAATTAATGTTCTTAATTTCCGGCTAGAAAATCGTTAGAGAATCCTGCATGCCAGCACCCCAGCAAGCTCTCTGGGACATACCTTTAAACTCCATGTTAGTAGCGTCATCCAGAAGTTCCTCCTTCATGGTATTAAGTGTCTCAACAATCATATCCTTCATTTCCTCCTGCTTTCGGTTGGCAATATTCATCAGTGATTCATATAATTCATTCTCCTTTTTTCGAGTATATTCCAGACGTTTGGGAGTGATCTGCAGATCCCGCTGCATGTCAAATGCCTGGTTAATAAAGATGTCAAGGCAGTGGCAATGCACCAGGTTCAGGGCCTTGGCTGCATCCACCAGGCGAGTCTGTAACACCTGGTGAGAAAATGTGCTCAAGTGTCTCAGCTTTTCACTTTGTTCCACCAACATGCTCTGAGCTTTAGTATCCTGGCCAGGAGCCCCACAGTTCCAGTGACTGCTGCTCAGATAGCCCAAGTCAATTAGCTGGTGATAAAGCGGTGATCTTTCACTCTCCGTTCTCCTGGTTGAGGAGTCTATTATCTCTGAGCCCAGTTTCGGCATTTTGAAAAAGAATACAGGAAAGGAGAAATACTTTCGGATTTCCTGAAGCTCTTGCTCATCCCTCTCAGAAAGTTCATCTTTGTGGAGTGCATAGGTTATCACAGGCAAGAAATCATTCACCAGGTCACCCAGAACGTCCACTGTGGGACGGAGGCCTTGGCATGGTGCTACCACAATGTCCACTTCCTGGAAGGGGAAGAGGATCATATCAGCACTTCAGGGTCAGAACCAATCCTTGCCTCCCCAGAGTCCCACACTGAGACCAAAATCCTGATCTACAATGGAACAACTGGACTTCGGTACCCCAGCCATTGATCCACCTTCCTCGGTTACCAACGCTCCCTGGTGCGGCCTATAAAGGCAGGCACTCGTCTAGAGAGTGAAAAAACAAAGAAGTAAAAAGGATAGCAGCCCTTAGCCATTCAGATAAAAAAAAATTTGATCTCTGCCTTCCTTTATTGCTTAGATTTTCCCACTGAGTCCCTCTGATGAAGAATTAAGACAAATAATGGAAGAAAAAGGAATTGTTATGGAAATTATCAGACTGGAAATGAGCTGGCCTGGAGCATTCTTCCCCCTCTTGCCCTCCTCTCACACCTCCCTCCCTGCCATTCAGACCTAACTTCTGAGCATCCTTTAAGTCTCAATGCATATGTTATAACATATCCTTATAGAGCCTTTCCTATTACACAATCCCAACCAAGCACTCTCTACTTCCCTTTTCTTAAGGTTCAACATATTTATAATCCGCTTATTTAAAACCCTTCTTTTCCCTATCTGTCTGCAGACTCTTTGAGGGCAGGGACTGGGTCTATTTTGCTTACTATTATGGCTCCAGTGCCTAGCATGTAGTAAGTCCTAAATACTGTCGAATCAATCAATTAAGCAGCAAACTAAAAGCCAGTTTCACCAAACATTATTACTGTCCTATTCTGAGTCTGTAGGTATCCCAAAGTCTTAGCCACCTAAGTCTAAGTAATACCTTTAGGAATATGATCACTTGGTATGACAGAGACCAACATTTGCCTATCAAATACCTAGCTAGTCTCCATGTTATAAGGGAAGGCAATGTCCTTTACAGATAGGGGTGTCCAAAAAGTGGGTGGGGTTTCCAGGAAGGCCCTTTAGGGTACAGGGGGTGGATTCTACCAGGAAATATGCCCTGTGGCCTTGTCCTTCTTCCTGCTTGGAGCACAGATATGACAGCTAGAACAGCAGTGATCACTCAGCAGCCCTAAGGCAAACCTGAGGGTGGAAGTCAGCACTAAAGATGATGACACCAAAAGAAAGAGGGAGCCTAGGTCTCTGGTGATCACAGAGCTGCCACATCAGCTCTCAGTTACCTAGTTTCAGACTTCTTTTATGCAAGGAAAAAAAAACCACCAAAAACTCTATCTTTAAGTTCCTGAGTTTTTGGTTTTTTAATTTTTGTTTTTTGATGATCTGTTACACACAATTGAACTTGATCCTAACTGAAATACCGAAGCTGCTGAAGTGAGTTTCAAGAATGATCTCTAGACCAGCACAGTGGCTCACGCTTGTAATCCCAGCACTTTGGGCGGCCAAGGCAGGAGGATCATTTGAGGTCAGGAGTTCAAGATCAGCCTGGCCAACATGGTAAAATGCCATCTCTACTAAAAATACAAAGATTAGCTGGGTGTGGTGGTAGGCGCCTGCAGTCCCAGCTACTCCAGAGGTTGAGGCAGAGAATGGCTTGAACCCAGGAGGTAAAGGTTGCAGTGAGCCGAGATCGCTCCACTGCACTCCAGCTTGGGCAACAAAGTGAGACTCTGTCTCGTTAAAAAAAAAGAAACAAGCCTTCCACAGGTCCTTTGCTCAGCCTGCACTTTCCGCTTTGTGTTCTGCTTCTTTCCTGTGAAGGCTGCAGACACACAAGAGCATATGTCCATCTACTGCATCTCCTTCCACTGCAGAGGTTGTTCCTCTGTGCTCCGACATTGTCTACTCGCCTGGCATTCTCGGTATAAACAGTTAACCAGGGACTCACACATATCAATATAGTACCATTGTAGGTACATAGACTCCTGATGTCTTCAGGGTCTGCAAACTCAGAATCAATCCTCCACAGAATTCTAGCATATTTTAGAGTTATAAAAGAACTTAACACAAATATGATCAAGTTTGTGTCCTTAACAGTTATGAGATGAAGAACATTTACTTTATTTGAAGTCTAAAAGATACACGATTTTGTTTCCTTCAGATGAATATTCTGTTTTTATTTCTTACTCTATTTGAACAGTAGGTTTGTTTTGTTTGTTTGTTTATTTACTTATTTATTGAAAGAGAGTCTCACAGATGGAGTCTCACTCTGTCACCCAGGCTGGAGTACAATGGTGCGATCTTGGCATGCTGCAACCT